GGGGGTGTAATGTCACATTGGGTGCCAAATTTGTAGCAGAAATGTAGTTAGAAATCTTTAATCTTAGAACTTTTGTTTTCTAAAAATGTAATAAAGTTTCTACTCTAATATTATGGAAAAAAAAAAAAATTAGGTAATACATGTAAAAATATAGAGTTTTTCTATTTGACAGATCTTTTAAAAAATTTGGTTCTTTTAGTTATTGACATTTATGCAATACACTATTAGAGAGATAATTAGCAAAATTATAAAAAAGCTTGCATACATTGTTGGAGTGATCTTTTTCTTCGATTCGAACGAAAGAACTATAAACGTTCTCCTTTATTATTTTTTTCTGGTATTTTTTATTGGATAGAAATTAACTATCCAATTATTAATATATTTACTAACTATCTTGCTTCATTAAGTGATATTCTGTAGAAACATTTTACAGTATTATTCAAAGATACACTTCCAAATTCTTCACAGCAGAACAGTTGTGGTCAGAGATGTATTTTATTTTTCAATACTAGAAGAATGAGATTCAACAATATTTTGTAAATTCCGTGAAGTATCTATATACACCAAAACAATTGAGCATGCTATCCAAGAAATATTTGATATTACTTTTAGACATGTTTATGAAGATTTATCAAAAATATAATTTATATTCTCCTGTTATTAAAGTTCATCTGATGGCATTAATATATACAAGCTTGTTTCTTTAGGTTATAAAATAATAGATTGTCATCTTCTAAAAGCTTTATTACCACAAGAAAACCTGATATTACTATTCTGTGTGACTACATGCATTGCAACATTAATTCATCTGATAGTGGAATTCTGGCATGCGATCATAGTTATCATAGTTTTTGTTTACAAAAAAATCATTTTAAATGTACTATATGTCTCGATTATCTTAAAGAAGAAATTAAAAAAATGCTGAGGCATTAAAAGCAAGTTTGACTAAAGAAGGTGTTAAAATTGAAATTGATAATAAGAATAGTCAAGAGGCAGAAAATGATAAATTGAATAATATAGTAATAACAGATGATATTACTACTGTAGAGAATCAATTAGAAAACAAAAAAAATTATTTCTTACATTGCAAATTTATTATTTAAAATACAAATATAATTATCATTAAATATTATATAATTATTTTATTAAATATTATATAATTATTTTTTAATTAAATTTATTATTGTTATAAAAATTGATAATCGAAATTAGAGATTTTGATTGGCTAATAGAAGACTGGAGGTTCACAGGAGTGATTTGCAATTTGTGTAATCTTGATAGTCACTCCTGTTCCATTATACAATCAATCGTTCAATCATTAATCAATCTTTCACTATCCGAAAATACTCGAATACTTTAAAAACTAATGATAGTTCTTTCTTTTACAGACTACTGTAGTAGAATAGTGTGTATTATAAGTAAGTTGAGAAGACTTTTGTAAATGCTCAGCATATTTTTGCATCATACTTGCAAGACTAAAAATTTCAGAAATAATTTCAGCACAACATTTTTCACTTGCCCAGATCTCACTTGCACTATGTTCTATTAATTTACAATATTCAATTAATTTTAATTGAGAAAGTTTTTCTTTTTTATGATGTGAAGTAAAATAAAAATTATTGTAAGTAGATCCAACTTTGTAAGTTGCTAACTGATTAAATAAAGAGGGCATATGGCATGCACGATCTTGAAGCAGTTTGATATGTGGATCAATATACCATATAGTATTTGATAGGTGCTCTATAAATAATTTGCCTCTTGTATCCTGCATTCCGTTTAACCATCCTCCACCCTTTTCTTCAAAAAGATCAATAAGCTCATTATATAAACGATCATGGCTATTTCCTCATATTATTTTCTTAGGAAAACTAAGTCGCTTGGCATTATTCATCAATACAGAATTTGCATCTTTAATAGGTGATCCAATTTCTTGAATTTTAGAAGATTCAAATAGAAATCTGACCATTTTAAAGTTTAATTAAGCTAATACTTGCAAATAATCAGTTAACCCATCTTGCAGCAGTATCCATTTATCATCTTTTTTTTCACAGCCAAAAACAAGAACATTTTTATCCAAAAATTGGTTGCTGGCCATCTCTAAAAGTAAATCCTTAAATGTTTCAGTATCTATTATATGAGCTATATTTACAGCTCTTTTATATAATACTTTAGGAGGATCTTCGACTATTATATAAGTATAAAACATTTTATCGATAATTCAAACAAGACAAGCATAATTTAATTGTTAAATTCTTTAAAAATCAGATATGTACATTAATATTATGTAATAATAATTAACCAAATATAGAAATCTATTTCAAACGTTCATTAAATATAGTAATTATGAAGTCATACATAAGATCTGCAGTAAGTATATAATTTTTATTCATTTTTTCGCATTCTCAGAAGTATACTTAAAATTAAAAAACCTTTACTATGAAAGAGGGGGAGGTAATAGGAGGGGGTAATGTAAACCACTGAATTAAATTGGGGTCACCTAACCTTATTACCTAACAAACCCTTATGCTAATTTCAATTAAATAATCAAAAAAAATATAGCGTACAAGCACAAAATAACGCCAAGCTGCGTGTTATTTCGAACTATGATAAATAGTATTTGATTAATATTAAGTAAACTTATTTTCTGGCTTTAGCAAATGTTGTTCTTCAGGTCGAGATAATTCTAATGGTCAAAAATAGTCTAGTAGTTCGCCCGCAATGCCTCTTTGAGTTCTGCAATATTTGTTTACCTTTGTTTACCTTTGTTTATCTGTAAATAAGATAAACAAATGTTGCAAAACATTAAAATGACATTTAGGGATGGACTCGGTCAGTTACGGTCGGTTATCGGTTGGTTATTACCGGCTAGCCGATCATAGCCGGCTAGCCACGCCTATAGCTGATCAATTATTTAATTCTTTTATCAAATATCGGTATTTAATCAATTGACAAACCAATTGTATGTTGGTTTAATAATTCATATCTGTGGATCTGCATTATCTGATAAATAGAAAAACCCATCAATTATAATTTTGGCCAAATTTGCAGATCATTTGGCCAGATCTAAAACAAAACAATTTCAAATCTGGTCAAATGATCTGCAAATTTGACCAAAATATAACTGATTGGTTTTTTATTTCGGTATATAACAGATCCGAAGTTAGGGTGAATTGAAAATTAATTTCACCAGTATCGCTAGTTGAGGCCCAGGAATTGAGATTTTTGCATCATTTTGGATAATATTAAGAAAACGTAGAATGCACCAATCCGTCCTGGTCCTAATTGGGTAAAAAAATGTAAACAAACATCACGTGATCTTCCTGTGATCACGTAACATTCCAATCAAGAAATTCTATTAGGTAGTATGAGGACTGGTCTTGAACCATTCTCACGGTCCCGCCCCACTTCAAAGACCGGTCCAGGACCGGTTTTTTTGCAAGACTGGTGCATCCCTAATATTGCAGATCATTTTACCAGATTTAAAATTGTTTGTTCTAGATCTGGCCAAATGATCTGCAAATTTGACCAGAATTATGACCGATAAGTTCCTCTATATATCAGATGGTGCAGACCCGCCGATATGATCGCATATAGTTATCCCTCTTTATAATCACACAGTTGGGACCATAGTAATTTTTTTTAAAAAAAGTGTTTATAAAGAGGTGTGCTTATATAGAGGTTTTTTTATATATATTAAATAGTAATTGGGCTCAAATAGAGGTGTGATTATAAAAAGGTTTTTATATGAAGTGATTATATGGGAGGTGATTATAAAGAGGAAAGACTGTACTGAATTATGCAATGATTATTATTCTCATAAACCAGGAAATTAAAATTTTGGCATCGGCTAGCCGGTCGGCTAAGCCGATCGGTCGGCTAATATCGGCTACGGCTATAGCCAGCTATAACCGGCTATAGCCGTAGCCGATTCCATCCCTAGTGACATTGCGGGCGAACTACTGGATCGTTTTTGATGATTTTACTACCGTTAGAATCGTCTCTACCTGAAGAACAACTTTTTGTTAAAGTCAAAAAATAGATTTACTAATATCAAACAGTTTCGAAGCACATTTTACTTATTTATTTATTTATAGGGATGCGCTTTAATTCGGGACGCCCATGGGCGTTAATTTGAAGCTACATATACTATTTTAGGGTATCTGATTTTTGAATTAGCGCCCCTGGGCGTTATTTCGTCTTGTATTGTAGACAGCGTCGATCGCACCTTTTATAGGGGATGCTTAAAGCAGTGCACAGTCATATAATTATTGACTTTTTTTTTAATTTAAGGGTTAGTGGGAGGTTAGGGTGAAGATAAGTTTATAGTAAATTGCCTCCCCGATATTTTTTGGTAATGCCCGAGGTAGCCCTATAAAAAATATTTGTTGGCAATGTTCTAAAAGTTATTCTGTTTTTGTTAAAAAAATGTTCGGAATGGAGTCGATTTTCCGAACATACCGTATACTGTACTGATTTTGTACAATGTTTATGCCTAATCTTTTTTTACATCATAATATAAAGATTGTACAAATATTGTACTGGCATTCGGAAAATCGACTCCATTCCGAACATTTTTCGGACGATGCCGACAATAACTGAACAAACTTTTCTATAGGGTATGTATTGTCACTCGCTTCTTGTATTTTTTTTTTTACCTGTTACATTTTTTCACTTTTTTCTTCTTTTTTCTTCATCAGGCTGATCTGTGTTGATCAAAGCAAACAAGTTGATTGGTTGTATAGCATGTGATTATACCCTGCTTTAAATGACTCCTTATATAGAAATAACTTTTTAATGTGTATAATACTAAAAGAATTTTAGTACACCAAACTCGAATTGAACCATCACTTCATTTCACTTTGTTCCTGGTACTTCGTTTCACTATGTTCCTGGTATTGCTGAATTACGTATCTTATAAATATAAGTGATCGATATTTTGACCCCAAAAGTTTTTCACGAAAATAGCATATTTTGTAAAAGATTTCAATTATATAAAATGAAATATCTTATTCCTTTGACAGTTCTTTTACTTTTCAAGGTAAAAAATCATATATTTTTTTTATTGTTCACATATAAATATCATTTTTTAAAAAAATTATATATATATTAGGTACTTGAAATTAATACCGTTTCTATTACAAATGATATTACAATCTGGTTATTCTTTTTGGATTAAATGTCTTACGACTGATCAGAATTCAACGTTAGACGAGTCA